CTGACATTTACACAGTTTCCAAACTTAAGAACATATATAGACAAATAGATAGACAAATGGACCAGGTGCACTGGCTCACGCCTATGATCCCAGCACTTTGGGAGGCCGAGGTGGGTGTATCACCTGAGACCAGCCTGGCCAACATGGTGAAACCCCATCTCTAATAATACAAAAATAAAAAAATACATGGTGGTGGGTTCCTGTAATCCCAGCTACTCAGGAGGCTAAGTCATGAGAATCGCTTGAACCTCGGAGGTGGAGGTTGCAGTGCACCAAGACTGCGTCACTGCACTCCAGCTTGGATGACAGAGTGAGACTTCATGGTGGGGAGGAGGGGCTGAGCACGGTGGCTCACGCCTATAATCCCAGCACTTTGGGAGGCTAAGGTGGGTGGATCACCTGAGATCAAGAGTTCGAGACCAGCCTGGCCAACATGGTGAAACACTGTCTCTACTAAAAATACAAAAAACTGGCCGGGCATGGTGGTGAGCGCCTGTAATCCCAGCTCCTCAGGAGGCTGAGGCAAGAGAATCACTTGAACCCAGGAAGCGGAGGTTGCAGTGAGCTGAGATCGTGCCATTGCACTCCGGCCTGGGTGACAAGAGAAAACTCGATCTCAAACAAAATACAAACCTATCTATCTACAGCATGTGATTTCAAATTCTGATCCTTTCAGAGCCTCAGTGATTTCACATAAACAAGTCCCTATTTTCCCATTTCACAGCAAGAATAGCAAATTCACCTATGTAATAAATGTGAGCTACCATTAAATTCAAAAGACACCAATAAATCCCAAGCCACCTTAACCTCTTCACTGGACAGGCAGGGGCTGGGGGGATGGCTACTGTTCTCGAACACCCAACACGTCACTTTACAGCGTACTGCAAAAGCATTAAGAAATGGAAAACAGGGCTGGGTGCAGTGGATCACACCTATAATACCAGCACTTCAGGAGGCTGAGGCGGGTGGATCATGAGGTCAGGAGTTCAAGACCAGCCTGGCCTACGTGGTGAAACCCCATCTCTACTAAAAATTCAAAAAATTAGCTGGGCATGGTGGGGGACACCTGTAATCCCAGCTACTCAGGAAGCTGAGACAGGAGAATTGCTTGAACTGGGAGGCGGAGGTTGCAGTGAGCCGAGACCACGCCATTGCACTCCAGACTGGGCAACAGAGAGAGACTCTGTCTCAATAAGAAGAAAAAAAAAGTTGACTGGGCGCGGTGGCTCACCTGAGGTCAGGAATTCAAGACCAGCCTGGCCATCATGGTGGAACCCCATCTTAAAAAAAAAAAAAAAAAAAAAAAGTTAAGAAAAGAAAAGAAGGCCGGGTGCGGTGGCTCATGCCTGTAATCCCAGCACTTCGGGACGTTGAGGCAGGCAGATCCCAAGGTCAGGAGATCAAGACCATCCTGGCCAACATGGTGAAACCCTGTCTCTACTAAAAATACAAAAAAATCAGCTGGGCATGGTGGTGCACGCCTGTAGTCCCAGCTACTCAGGAGGCTGAGGCAGAAGAATTGCTTGAACCCAGGAAGCTGAGATTGCAGTGAGCCAAGATCGCACCACTGCACTACAGCCTGGGCAACAGCGCTAGCCTCCATCTCAAAAGAAAAGAAAAGGAAAACAAAGTCCTACTGAAATGTGGATCCTCAGGGAATTCACAAATTCACTCCAGGACATAAGCCTTATATTGTGCCACTCAAATTCCTACCTCAGCTAAATGACAGAAGGCTGTACATCCCAAATTTCTCATTTCTCAGGAAAATTATAAATATCAAATTAACTCAATCAAGACAGTTGAAGGTGAACAAAAAAAAATAAATGCCAAATTTATAAACATCAAAAGCTTACTATACTGCTCACTTCGGCAACACATATACTAAACCTGGGAAGGTACGGAGAAGATTAGCATGGCCTGCATGTGAGGTTGACATAGTAAAGAAATCTTTTTTATAAAAAAGTTAAAAAACAAAATAAAAAAAAGCTAACTGTACGCAAATCTAGATGTGTGCAATTTCAAAGCTATGCTTTTTTTCCTCCTCCACACAGTTCCTTGGTATGAGAAAGGAATAAACACTACACACCATCCTTAGCTTTATCTTGGTTTCAATTCTGATAGAAGTTAAACTATTCTCAAAGTGTACAGTCTTAGAAGCAATGTTGCCCCAACCTCCATTTCCAACCTAGCCTAATTCAACCCTTTTCAGGTAATGAGGAGCTTTTGCACTCTTGGAAATAACATCACACTAACGTTAAATAGAATGTGAGTATCCAACAGACCTAACATACTACAGCCCAGCCCATCTGAGCACCAAAGATTCTCAAAAAATCTCCACAAATATTCCCTTGTCACATTTCTTCTGCCTCAGACCCAACAATCCACAAAGCAGAAGCAGAGAAGGAACCCTCCCCATTTTCAAACCTGTGTCTGTAGGACTGGGAGCTGAGGGTGAGCAGGGGAGGGGCTGCTCTGCATGGTCCCACTCCCAGGCTCCTCCTTGGATGCCTGAAGAATGACTGGGTCGTTATCACCACTGCTGCTGGCCGAGGGGCTGGCGTCCGGCTGCAGGGCATGCTGGGAACTGGCCTCATTCTGGGCCACCGGCCACCGGGACCCGCCTTCCAGGGCCCGGGGCCCACCAGGGCGTCCCAGCCTCCGCTCAGGTCCACCAGCCTCTGGAGCACCTAAAGTGGGTAAATAAGATGGAAATGTGGTCAAAGAAGATAAAAAATTATTTTTAAAAAACAGAAATAGCACTGAATAAAGAGAAACACAGTAATTACAGGTTGTATTCTTTAGCATTTACTATGTATGAGATACTTTACTTTCTTGATGTGTTCTATAATCGTCACATCTACCTTAAAAACCAGGTGCTTTTCACACCATAACAATTAACTTCCTTCTTCACACCAAGGATAAAGCCATGGAGGAAAGATCCCCGACCTAAATGGAGCTTACATTTTAATACAATCTGTTTCATAATTTAAGAAGACCTTACGATTTGCAGGTCACAGAGTAAGAAAGTGGTAGGACTTCAGTTCAGATAGTATGATGCCAAAACCATGGAAAACCTGCTACTCATCCTGGTAGAGCCAGGGTGACCACGTTTTCCTCAACCCACAGTCTCATATCTGTTATTCACTACTACAATGAAACCCTCCACAGAAAAACCATACGCATCCATTCTCATGGTTCTCTAGAGTGAAAATCCACAATAACTGATCTATAATTGCTCTCATTAACTCAAATATTTCTCCCATTAGCATCAGCACACGAAATGGTAGCAGATCCCTCACCTGTGTGAGCTGAGACCACACCCCCTGTGAAAGTCTGCACTTCCACGGTGCCGCCGTACTGAAGGGAATCACGCCTGAAACAGGAGAGGACAGTGAGAAACTCTTTCACGTTTGCCAACATCCATCAAAGCGTATTATTTACTCCATTTTTTTGAGTCATTTACATATACCCCAATCAGTTCAAAGACTTAAAAGAGAAAATGTACAGTAGTAGTAAAAGCTCATATTTCAAATAAATGTTTCATGAAGACAAATCATGTTTTGTGAATTCTGTATGGACATAAAATCCTTCCCAGGGGAGTAGCAGGAAAGAAGTGAAACAAGAAAGTTCAAAAATCTTAAGTGTAAAGACTCCAACCAATGGAGGACAAAAAAAAAAAGCTGTCACATCCAGAACTTCAGAAATGTGCTACCTGCCTGTGTGCCTTTCCAATGAGGGCTGAACGCAGGAATGAGACTGGACCTCCCGAGAAGAGTCAACAAACATGCCGGTCACAGGAAAATCCGCCCAGGATTCAGGGCAGGGCGCTGTAAATCCCATACCTGCGCCATCAGACACTTCCCCAAACACAAGAATCACAGCAAAGAGAGCCTCAGGAGCAGTCAAAAGTGAGGAAGGCCGCACTGCCAAGAACCACGCACCGGAAAAACAGGCAGGGTGAACCTGCACAAGGCCCGGAAGTGCTTCCCCAGTGTTTAAGGAAATCCCTAAACCAGGGTGCCGCCTTTGATTCACTACCTCCTCCGCCACACGTTCCCAGGACACGGGCTCACCAAAACCCAACAAGCCCGAACTCTTGACTTCAGGCTTCGTGACCATCTCCCCTGCCCTCTCAGCGGACTGACCCCGCGTGACCCCTGACCTCTGCCCAAGTTGCCACTAGCCCTGAGATAGCCCCGCCCCCCGACTCCCACCCCACCCAACGTGCGCGCCGGGCGGGGGAGGGGCCGGCGCGTGCGCGGCTGGAGGCGGAGTGAGCCGGCTGCGCGCACGGCCCGGGGGCTCCCGCCAGAACCCGAGCCCACACACACAAGGGTCGCAGGGCTAGGAAGCCCCTCATCTGAGCCCGTCAGGGAGCGCGCCCCCCGTCACCAGACCAAGAAAGGCTGAGAAAAGGGAGGGTTCGTGCAGCCAGGTCCCGATCCCCTGGCTGGATGTGGTGGGCGCGCGCCCCGACTACCCGTCCCACGCCCCCCTTGCTCTTCCCGCGCGCCCCTGAGGGGTGACTGGGTTGGTGGGCGGGCAGGAGCGCACCTGGGTCCGTCCTCTCAGGGCTCGCTCGCTCGCTGAGGCACGCGTGCGCAGAAGGGCGGGAGGGACGAGGAGACGCGCCGGGGACCAACGCCGGCCGGCCTGACCCCCTCAGTCTGTCTCTATGGGCGCGCGCCGACAGCCTCGCGCACCGGCCCCGGGGCCCCGGCTGAGGGTGCGCGCGCAGCACCCCGGGAAGGTGGGAGGGGAGGCGGTGGCGGAAAGATGCGCGCGCAGTCAGCCGTCAGGGGAGGGGGAACTGTAGAGCGTCCGCCATCTTGTCTCCCTCTCCTTACCTGCGTCCTCGGGGGCGTGCGCACCACCCCCCCTCCCGCCGAGGAGGGGGGAGGGCCCCCTCTTGGTCACCGCCTTCGAGGCCTTTAAACTCCCGTGGGGACTGCGGCTACTGCCACCGCCTTGCCTCCACTGCTTCTTCTCGCAGCACACAGATGCGGACGGTGGGTGGGAAAAAGGGGAGACACGCTACTGCCCGCGAACCGCCGCCGCCGCTCCCGAGGCCTCACCAAAATGGCCGCCGCCGTCTCGGCCGCCACCACCACCACAACCACCACTGCTCGCTATCGCTACCGCCGGCGCGGCCCGTCCTCTCGCGAGAGACAGTAACTGGAGGGTTGGAGGTGGGGAGGCTCGCGTGCCGCGTAGGGCGCCGCCCGGCGCGCAAGGCAGACTGGGACGTGTAGTCGGCCGGAGGCTACGCGCGCGCCCCTCCTCGGAGCGCCCTTACCGTCTCTCCCTAGAGCTACCTGGGGCTGCATTGCGGCTCCGAGCTCCGACCACAGCCACCTCTTGTTTTATTTACAGATCACCCAGTGAGATGAAGCAAGTTAGCAGTGGAATCTGGGCCTTCAGATTCCCATGGCGACCCACTTCTGTAGTGCTGCTTCGTTTTACACCAGGATGGTCTCCTGATAGCTTTCAAACACACTTGCCATCTGTTCGCAAACTTTCTAGGTTAAGAACCTCCCTTTGAGAATCTGATACTTTTACCCCAGAATAGAACAATAAATAGCAGCTACCTTCTACTGATGCTACATTGTGCATTGATGATCTCTTTTAATCCTAACAATGCTCCATTTTACAAACGAATTGAGGCTCAGGCGTTAAACACAGTGACAGATCCTGAAGTCAAGATTCCTAGCCAAGCAGTCTAAGCCACAAGAATGCACAAGAATTTTACCTGAAGCCCACCCTAAGAGGCCAGGTTAGGAAGCTCTGATGAAGCTCCCCTTCCTCTACTCAATTTAGCCCTTTCCTGTGAAGAAGGAATTGTTGGTCCCATTTTAAGGTAAAGTTTGGGTTGGAAAAAAAGTGGATGATGCCCGTCTTTTCTAGACCCTTCTCCCATCACCCCCAGAAGAGGGGAGCCCAGGCCAGAGTCTGAATGGGTTGGACCAAGCCTTGTGCCATTAACTCCTTGCTGTGTGACCTTGAGCAATTAACTTCACCTTTCTGAGCTTCAGTTTCCTCTGTAAAGTGAGGATAGAATTGCCGATGTGAAATTGCACTGAAAGATCTAAAGGGCCAGGTGTAGTGGCTCACACCTGTAATTCCAGCACTTTAGGAGGCTGAGGCAATAGGAGGATCAGTTGAGGCCAGGAGCCCCAGATCAGTCTGGGCAACATAGTGAGACCTCCTCTCTACAGTAAATTAAATGAAGAAAAGAGAGAAAGCTCTGAAGAACCACCTAAATGCAGAGTGTATTTCACTATAGTTCACTGAACTATATAGTTCAGTGTCTCACACTCATATGATCTTAAGGTCAAGTTTAGCCTTCTGATGTGCTTTGCATAGTGTTTGTTTACTTAAGTATTAATTTATTGAGATGGAATCTCACTCTGTCACCCAGGCCACAGTGCAATGGCACAGTCGTGGCTCCCTGCAGCCTCTGCCTCCTGGGCTCAAGCAACTCTCATGGCTCAGCCTCCCAAGTAGCTGGGATTGCAGATGTGCACTACCACACTCAAACTCCTGACCTCAGGTGATCTGCCTGCCTCAGCCTCCCAAAGTGCTGGGACTACAGGTGTGAACCACCACCCCCAGCCACTTTACATAGTGTTTTAATATTCTGGGTATTATTAATACTTCAAGCAGCTGGTGCAGTGGCTCATGCCTGTAATCCCACCACTTTGGGAGGTCAAGGCAGGCAGATCACCTGAGATCGAGAGTTTGAGACCAGCCTGGCCAACATGGAGAAACCCAGCTCTACTAAAAATGCAAAATTAGCTGGGCATGGTGGTGCACGCCTGTAATGCCAGCTACTTGAACCCAGGAGGCGGAGGTTGAGGTGAGCTGAGATCATGCCATTGCACTCCAGTCTGGGCAACAAGACTAAAACTCTTGTCTCAAAAAAAAAAAAAAAGAGAAAAAATACTTCAGGCAAGAGAATGACATCTCCAATGTGCCGTTCCCAATTATCTTGCACTGGGCAACTTAACAACTAAACGTTTGTCGTATCTGACACCTAAAGGCAGTTAAACTTGTGACCTCTTGTTCATACACAAGCATGTCAGCGATTGTGTTCTCCTAACCCACATTTTGTCTGCCCATTTCCTATCTGGCCCTGTGCTGGGTGCAGTGGGAGACACAGGAGGGAAGATGTCACAGTCCCCACTCTCAAGAACTTAGTCTCATTGCAAGATAAGCTGTGAGCTTGGTAAAAGTCCTGGCAGTGTTATGGTGTCTCAAGGGAAGGATGGTCAAGTAACTCTCCAAGGGTGAGGTTGGATACCCAGGGAGGTATCAGGGAAGGCTTCCTAGAGAAGTATCACTTGAACCTGACTGAAAATTTAGGCATGAAGACAGGCACTCTAGGAAAATGACAAACCTCCACAAGTTTGCTGGCTCAAGTTGGGGGAGACAGTGAATCAGCTTTTGGCCCAGGCTGGCTTGTAGTGGTTCGATCATAGCTCACTGCAGCCTCAACCTCCTGGGCTCAGGTGATTCTCACACCTCAGCCTTCCAAGTAGCTGAGTCTACAGGTGCACACCACCAGGCCTGGCTATTTTTATTTTTTTTGTAGAGAAAGTAGGAGGTCTCACTATGTTGAACACTTGGCCTCAAACAACCCTCCTGTCTCAGCCTCCCAAAGTGTTGGGACTACAGGCGTGAGCCACCACACCTGGCCCCAGCTGGTCCTCTTTATGAGGGAGCAGGTTGAGACACTGTTAGATCTCCTGGATCCAAGTGGCTAAAGGCTCAGCATGCCAGGCTAGGTATGGGACATTCGTTTGGAAGTGACAGGGAGCTATTGAAAGTTGCTGAGCAAGGGCTGGGCATGGCCCATGCTCCACTTTACAAAGGGTGATGTAACAAGGTGCATGGGATGTTTGTACGGCTGGAGACAGGGAGGATACCAGCAGTCACCTGGGTGTAATGAGAGCTGTTGGCCAGGAGGTGGCAGTGGAGATGGGGGAGACACTGAGAAGGAAAAATTAGCGGAACTTGGCCGTTTATTGCTAGTGATGATAATCCTCTAAACAGCATTCCTTCTGTGATTCCAGTCTTTCCCAGGCTCTTCCTACCTCCCTGGCCACTTCCTCTCCCTCTCCCTTAGAGGACACTTCTGGACCCCTCCATCAATTGGTGGGGCTGCTAAGGATTCTTCCCTCAACTGCCTTCTCTCATCCAACAAGTTCTCAAGGGCCAGGGCAGATATTGTAAAACTAATAAAGCTTCAGCTTCCAGGACTCCTCCCTTTAATGGACTTTCCATTGGTATTAGTGGCTAGGGGTTACAGAACCGTCTAGGTGAGGTAGAGAAGCCAGGTTGTAACCAGAAAACAACTCACATATAAGCATTTCTGGTGATTTGCCTAAAGAGATCTTAGAGGGGAAAAATGGTATTAATCTCTAAGGCTCCAGTAATTTCTCATGATTTCCACGTTTATTCTAATTACTATCTCTTAAGCCAACGACTGCCCCAGCTCAGAACCCCCTAACTCCTGCAATCCTTCTGCAGGAGGCCTGCTGGAAACCTTGGACTCCTCCATCCAAAAGTGAACTCACAGCCAGGCACAGTGGCTCACACCTGTAATCCCAGCACTGGGAGGCCAAGGCGGGCAGATTGATTTAGGTCAGGAGTTCGAGACCAGTTTGACCAAGATGGTGAAACCCTGTCTCTACTAAAAATACAAAAATTAGCTGGGCATGGTGGTTTATGCCTGTAGTCTCAGCTACTCGAGAGGCTGAGGTAGGAGAATCTCTTGAACCTGGGAGGCAGAGGTTGCAATGAGCGAGATGGAGCCACTGCATTCCAGCCTGGGCGACAGAGTGAGACTCTCAAAGAAAACACAAACAGGCCGGATGCAGTGGCTCATGCCTGTAATCCCAGTACTTTGGGAGGCCAAGGCGGGCAGATCACCTGAGGTCAGGAGTTTGAGACCAGCCTGGCCAACATGGTGAAACCCTGTCTCTACTAAAAATTCAAAATTAGCCGGGCATGGTGGCGGGCATCTGTAATCCCAGCTACTCGGGAGGCTGAGGCAGGAGAATCGCTTGAACCCAGGAGGTGGAGGTTGCAGTAAACTGCAACTTCTTGTCTGGGCTACAAGAGTAAGACTCCGTTTAAAAAAAAAAAAACAGTGAACTCACCATCCAAACAAAACGTGCTCCTCCTCCCTCTGCCCTGAGGAGATGGCACTATCCACTCAGTTGCTCAAGCTAGAAAAGGCATCACTTTGCCTTTTCGTCATGCCCCACATCCAGTCTCGTGCATTACATCTTAAATATTTCTCTATTCTATCTGTTTCTCTGCACTCTCACAGGAGATCCTAAGCCCTTGATGATTTATAATTGCAAGAACTGGCTGGTTTGAAATCTTAGCGCCACCACCATAGTCTCCAATAGCTTCCCCACCCCATTCTTTGATAGGGACAGTTGATGTTTCTCAGTCTTATGTAAAGTGATATACAAATGAGGCTTCCAGATTAACGTGAGTCCTCCAGCCTCTGCTCTTTTCCATCCCTACAGCTGCTCCTATCCCCCCTGACAAGCCAAAATTCTGGATCCAAAGCAGTCTGCACCAGCCTCCTTATTGATTTCTGTGTGGCCAGTCTCTCCTGCCCCACCAAAAACCAGTTCCCATGTGGTAACCATTGCAGTGGGGGAATCGGAACAAGCATTTGAGAGTGTGACCTAATGTTAGGAACTGGCGAGGGCAATTACATAATAAAGCAGGTAGAGAGGGGCAGGGGAGGGGCCCTTTTAGACCAGGGGGTCTCTGGTGAGGTGGCAGTTGGATGGAAACCTGAAGAAGACTTCTCCACACACCAGCCAGAGGAGATTTGTCTCCGCAGATTGGACAGAGTCACTCTCCTCCTTCAGGTCCTTTTGTGGGCTCCCATGAAACCCCTTTCTGAGGTCCCCCTGCATGACGAGCCCTTGGCAGATTCTCCAGCCTCATCTCTCCCAGCGCCCTGCACTCCAGCCACTGCTGTCTCTCTACAGGCTCTTTTCTCTGTTCTAGGCTTTCTCACACTGCCTTCTCTTTTTCCTTTCACTCAGTTACAACCTACACATCCTTAGTCCTAGGACGATGTCATGGCCTCCAGAAGCCTTCCCTGCCCTCAAACTGTACTGTGTCTCCTGTAATATTCTGTGCTTTTTCTTCTTCTTCTCCACACTCTGGGAATAATTCCTTGGGCTCACCTCTGTCTTGTTCACTTTGGTGCATGCTGTCTATATCTATTGTCTGGGGGAGTGCCACGCACATCATAAATATCAACACTTTGGGCTTGGTTGATGCCTGTGTGTTGCATGACAGCAATAACTCATGTATGCTATTTTTTTTCTTTCTTTCTTTTTTTTTTTTTTTGAGACGGAGTCTTGCTCTATCACCCAGACTGGAGTGCGGTGGTGTGATCTTGGCTCACTACAACCTCCACCTCCTGGGTTTAAGCAATTCTCCTGCCTCATCCTCCAGAGTAGCTGGGATTACAGGCATGCACCACCATACCAGGCTAAATTTTGTTTGTTTGTTTGTATTTTTAGTAGAGATAGGGTTTCGCCATGTTGGTCAGGCTGATATCGAACTCTTGGCCTCAGGTGATCTACCCGCCTCAGCCTCCCAAAGTGCTGGGATTACAGGCATGACCCACTGCACCCGACTACAACGTGTTAAATTCACTCAAGAAGCATAATAATGACAAGCACTAGGAACTAACGTGTATCTACATGAATGAACTCACTTAATTCTCACAATTACCTTATTAAATAGATTATTATCCTCCTTTCATAGATGGTAAAAAGGACAGTTAAGTAACTTGTCACAAATTACAGAGCTGAAAAAGAGCAGCACAAGGACTGCTGTCAACCCAGAGGGACTTGACTCACATTTGTGCTTTTTTTTTTTTTTTCCCCCAAAAGATGGCTTCTCACTCTTTGCCCAGGCTGGAGCTGGAGGGCAGTGGTGGGCATCATGGCTTACTTCAGCCTCAAATTCAGGGTTCGAACAATCCTCCTGCCTCAGCCTCCTGAGTAGCTGAGACCATAGGTGACAGCCACCATGGCTGGCTAACTTTTTTTTCCTTAAGAGACAAGGTCTTGGCCAGGTGTTGTGGCTCACGCCTGTAACCCCAGCACTTTAGGAG